CCCCAAAACCCCAAAACCCCAAAACCCCAAAACCCCAAAACCCCAAAACCCCAAAACCCCAAAAGGTAAAATCTTATTGAAAATCTTGATGTAAATGGTTTTTATAGCAACTAAGTTACTCTCTTCCTTTACAAAACCTCTTACTTCTTGTTGAGGTGGCTTACAGCCTTAGTCACATCATTTCTGTTAACTCTGAGAGCTTGGACAGCTTCTTCTCTAGAACATCTGACATTATTAATGACTCCTTCAATATTAATTTCTGTGATTTCGCTTTCATCAAGTTCTTCTTCTGGAATCTCTGGCTCTTCTTCTGGTTCTTCCTTCTCCTCTTCTTCGCTATCTTTGATTCTTGCAAACTCTTCAATCCTGGCTTGGCCTTGCTTTGATTCGATGATACCCCTAGCTAATTTGATGAAGGAATCATATTTGACCTTATCTTTCTTCTCGAAGTCAGTGACGATCTTGTTTACCTTATCAAGGAAGTCCTGGTCTATCAGATAGGACGGAGGGAATGCACCGCTAGTGAAGATTGTCATAAGATCTTTCTCTCCAATCTGGACAAGCTTCGGCAAAGCTTCAAGGTATTTTGATGGATAGTCTTTCAACAGATCTTTTTGGAACCTGCTATAGAACCCAGAGATATAAGCTCTATATTCCCAAGAAGATAATTCATTTTCTCTTGGGTTAATTATGATGTTCCAAACTCTTTCTTTGTTCTCTTTGGTTGGCACAGCAGCATCAGCAGTGATCTTGAACCTCTCGCCTCTATCAGTCTGGTTGTCTTGGAGATATTTCTCAAGAAGATCCTTAGTCTGGGATTCTTCAAGGTATTGGGATCTGATAGCAGCCAAAATGATTGCCTTTTTGTCTTCATCTTCTAATTCAATGGTTCCTTCAGAATACCAAGAAGCTGCAGCCTTGATGTGGTCTTTGTCGTGAAGATACGAAAAGATATGATTCTTCACAAGATTCTTAAGCTCCTTTTGGCTTTCTGGAAGTGACTCGTACAGATTTTTAGCTCCCTCGAACATTTTCTTGACAAGATCTCCATACATATTTTTAGGAATATACAAGGAGATAAATGGCTTAACTGTTGTCAAGAGAGTACTGAGAAGGATCAGGTCAGACTCTTTGAAGATATTCTTTGCTACAATATCAAAGAACTCTGTTGATTTCAGCTTCTTGTTCTTAACCATTGCAATTAAGGTTCTCCAGATAACAGTCCTATCAAGATTGCTTGGGACTTTTTGGATCCCCTCTTCTTTGAAATGATCAATGAATCTATCTGATACTGAAGATAGAATATAGGCATGATCTCCAGCATTTGGAAGAATGAAGGTATTCTTACTAGTCCTTCCCTTGATTTCAACAGTCTGGGGTTCAGAATCGTCAGTCAATACAATAGAATGAAGCTCACAGTTATACTCCTCATCAAAAAGATAATAATCCATCTTCTGAGCATTGATGTATTGAGAGTACTTCATGTTGGATTTTGTGAAGGTGATCTTGATTCCTCCCTCAATATCCTCAATTTTAGTATCAACTTTATTGACACCTTGGTGGGTCAAGAAGTCAATGCAGTATTTTCTAAGGTTCACTTCTAGTTCTACATCAGCAGTTGCACATCCATAAGAAAGAGCATCCAGGAAATCATCGATGTTAGTGTTAGAGTAAGCATGATTTTTGAAGTATTTAGTGCATCCTTTGCTCATAGCTTCCCTTCCAATCATGTGAATAAGTTGCTTAATGAAGCTTGATCCTTTACCATAAGTAATAGCATTAACCATATCATCAGCAGAGTCTGTGGTAACAGCATCCTTGACAATAGGATGTGTAGTGGAAAGACTATCTGAGTTGAGAGCAGCTTGTTTTCTCATATTTAAAGCTACCCAGAATCCTGGTGTCTTTTTAGCCAGAATCTCATTTTCGCTAGTACAGTGATATGCCATATAGGTAGCAAAAGCTTCATTAAGCCACAAGTCATCCCACCATGTCATAGTAGCTAAGTTTCCAAACCATTGATGGCATAATTCATGAAGAGTAGTGTTGGTGAGTCTTGTCAAATGAAGTGTTCCCAACTTTCCTGTTGGTATGTAAGCTTCTGAAAATGTAACTGCACCCACATTCTCCATTGCTCCAAATCTGAATTCAGGACAGAAGATCTGATCGTACTTACTCCATGGGAATGGTGTTCCGAAGAACTCTGTGTACCACTCAATTCCAGTGACTACGGCTTCGTGCATGTGGTCGTAGGCTTGACTAATGTACTCAACCAATGATTTTCTACATAAGAACCTCATCCTGAGTGGCTCATCTTTGCCAGGTGCATTTCCTTGCTTCTCAACAACATCGTAAGGCCCAGAGATGATGGCGAACAGATATGCAGAGATCTTTGGAGTCTTGCTGAACTTGGTGATTCTGTAGTTTCCAATTCCCTGAATTGCCTGTCTAAATCCATTTTCTTCAATGAATTGAGAGCTTTCTTCAGGCTTCTCAGTGTTAGTGAAATCGGCATCTTCGTGTGAGTTACTCAGAGAAACATGCTCTTCAGGTGCTATCAATGCCAGAGTCATGGTGGCCTTAATATCTGGCTGGTCAAAGCATGGGATGGCTCTGTGAGCGTCAAATGGTTCGAACTGAGTGTAAAGATATTCTCCATCGTCTGCAGGATCCACAAACTTATGAAGTCCTGTTCCTGTCTTTCTGTAGTTGTTCAAGAAAGTCAGCTCAATAGTGTTCTCACCTTCTTGAAGAACACCAGAGTTGAAGTTGATTCTTTGGTTGAGGAAGTGGTCTTTTACTTCAACAGCTTTCCCATTGATTGCCAAAGTCTTAATGATTTTACACTGGAAATCAATAAAAACTTCTCCATCTTGATAGTCCTTGTTCTTGAGAGTAAATACCACTGTTGATTTTCCGTGATACTCCTTTCCTAGATGGAAGGTAAGTTATTAGATCTTTTATTCGAATGATATTCCAATTTAACATAAAACTCATAGAGCATAAATATTAAGAACATACCTTTGAGGAGGACAAGCTTGTTATTGTAGTGAACGTTATCAACTAATTTCTTTCTCTTAATGGCTTCTTCTCTGTACAGGCAGACAGCATCTTCGTATCCAGGGTCTTGGTATCCTTCAGGCTCCTGTTCAGCCTGTTTGTCATCTCCAACATGTGTGACTGGCTCAGATGCTCTCTTTGAGGATAGGTACCAATAACCTCCAATGGCAACAACTGTGGCTGCTACACCAATTCCAATTTTGGCATTTTTACTAAGTTTCTCCATATTTGTGGATAAGATATTTTATTGTAGCCTCTGCTGGGGTTTTGGGGTTTTGGGGTTTTGGGGTTTTGGGG